TGTTACTATTTTCAGACAAATGCATTTGTCCCTGTTTTTTCTCAAGTAGTGGCGGCTGCATGGGTAGTGATATGTATTCACGTCCTGGTCTTATGTGGGGATTTCAGGTCCTGCTCTTAGGAATAGCCAGTGAGGACAGTGAATTGCCTACTTCACATGTGTGTTATGGTGGTTTCACCTATCTCCTAACACATGTGGTTTACAGAGCAGTTTCCGGTAAAAATGCATAAAAACATAAGAACAACCATGCTGGCTCAGGGCAAATGTCTACTTAGCTCAGTGCTGTATGGTGAACAAGCACCATGCAACGGAAAGTAGAAGAAAGGGCAGGCACTGAGWGGTCCCTTCTTGACAAACCCTGCACAATTCAGGACTTTCTGTGCCAGTGAGATTGCCACTATATTTTTTGCCTTTGATAGAGTTTTCTTCTACAGATTTGTCTAATCTCTTTGAGAATCTGCTATTCACAGAATCACGGAATTGTTGAGGTTGGGAGTGACCTCTAGAGATCATCTAGTCCAACCCTCTGCTCAAGCAGGGACGCCTAGAACACATTGCTCAGGATTGTATCCAGGGAACTTTTGAACATCTCCAGAGAAGGAGATTCCACAACCTCTCTGGATGACTTGTTCTAGTGCTCTGTTTCTCTCACAGTAAGAAAGCTTTTTCTCGTGTTCAGCTGGAGCTCCTGGTGTTTCAGTTTGTGACCATAGCCTCTCATTGCTAGGCACTACTGAAAAGAGCGTGGCCCCATCCTCTTGACACCCTCCCTTCAGATACTTAGGCACATTGATAAGATCCCTCCTCCATCTTTTCTTTTCCAGGTTGAACAGGCCTAGCGCTCTCAACCTTTCCTCATATGAARGAAATGATGCCCCAGTCCTTTTGTTACCCTCTGCTGAACTTGCTCCAGTAGTTCCATGTTCCTTTTTTACTGGGGAGCCCAGAACTGGACACAGTACTCCAGATGTGGCCTCATCGAGCTGAGTAGAGGGGGAGGATTTCTCTCTTGATCTGCTGACAATGCTCTTTCTTATACAGCATCTGCTGGTGCTGCTGGATAGAAAATCCCACTGGTCATAGCACTCGYTTGTATTGAGCATTGCAGCAAACATATTTTTAGCCAAAGTCTATTCAGTAACTGTGTTTTAATACTGAGGACTATTTTTGTACGTAACAGAGCATACYGTGACAGGCACCACCTTAGATATTGACACTGGCCGCTCTCAAATGCTTTAAAATAAGGCTCAGAAGGGGACAAAAAGTCCACAGCATAATATTAAGCTGTTCTGCCCAAAGCAAACAATTCTTTTTGTCAGAGATCTGGTCAGGAAACATTTCATCTGAACTTCACTTGTAAAAAAGGTTTTGCAACATGCATTGAAGGAAAACTAATTCACTTCTGGATTCTGGGCTATTTCGTAGAAGCTGAATCTGGTTCTTGATATCATCATTCTGTCTGTTTTTAACACAGGGAATTAGATGAAGTTCTTGTATGTTCTGCCTTTTTAGCTATTTGAGGGCAATATGGTAAAGTTTTCAGGCTTTTCTGTACAACCAGGGGTCTTGAAATGTACTTGAGAATGTGGTCATCAGAGCTGAAGCTTTAGGAAAACTAGTAGCTCACTTGAGATTTGTGGTAGGACTGGGTGATTTGGCTGCTGTTGCAACATGGGAATATTTCAGTTTCTGTATTTTTTTTTCTGTGTTTTAGTACCTTGCATGAAATCTTCCTTTTGAATGGATGCTTTGTCAGAGAAGGTGTGTGGTAGCTTTGTATTAACTTCCATTTCCAGAGACATTTGGGTATCTAATCCACAAAGAGTGGGCACATTAAAGGATACATTTTCAGAGGTGTTACATCTTTTTTATCTTTTATAAAAATATATCTTTTTTTTTTCAGATTGCTACAGGTTTGCTCTTTGCTGCTAGCACCCATCTGTACTCTGCTCCTGCATCGTCCTAGTTTCTTCTCCTGCTAATTCTGGCTGTCAACCAAATACAGGTTTCCTGCATTACATCAAAACATATGACTTGTGAGACCTTTCTTTGGCTATGATTCCTTTAATAAACAATAGAATTTCCTTGTTCACTCAAGAACCTCATAAGGAGTCATCTGGAATGATGTCCAACTTTTTCTGTTTACCTGTATTAGAAACTGAAGCACTGATTGCAGAAAACTCTTAGGATTACAAATAATTTAGGACTACCAGACGTTTGTGATTTTAAATATCATTAACTACTTGAGCAATATTTTCTAGTTATACAGCATCTTTTTTGAAAAACATGATTCCAAACTCCTCAGCATGTAGGCACGTAAATGATTTTGGCATAATATGTATTTGTTTGTGGAATTAAGGCTAACAGCTTCACACTGTACTCACTACGCAAATACTTAAGGTGAACTCAAATATACATCTATCAAGGTTTATATCTACTTGCTTTTGAGAGTTACAGACAGCTGTTGTAGCTACAAAGGATAATTCTTCATTCATGCATATCCTATTTGCTTGGTAAAATTCCCATTTATGACTAGAGTCCCTCATTTCATTACAAAAGCAGTCTCATTTTATGCCTATGCTCTGCTTTTTCCTAACCAGCCTTTTGGCCACTGCAAGACACAAGGCTAGAGCCTTTGAAATGACCCATATGACCACTCATCTCGTCTCAGGGTACCATGGATGTGCTAACACTTCTTTCCATTATAGGGATTAAACTTAGGTAAAACAAGCAACTTGAAATATTAAAACCAATTTTAAAGGTTCCTTTTTTTTTATTTACTTCCAACAACAGCAGTATCAACAAAAAAAAAGAGGATAGATAAGGCAGAAAGCATTTTTATGCAATCACATCATTTGAAGTTATTTCTATTGTTAGGTTGCTAATCTATCGATGCAAAATAAGTAACCAAACCACTCTTATCTGTTGGACAAATTGTGCTCTCTAAAATACAATCAATTGCCAGCAACCAGAAGCTCTCTGTTCTAGTTCAGTGTTTTKTCTTTGGCTGGAAAAACTAGCATAAAGTGAAAAAAGAATCTCTCACAGAGCACCCCACACATCTATAATATGTGTCACATCTATAATATATACACATTTATAAATACCTCAAGGGAGGCAGTGAGGAGGAGGGGGCGGCCTCTTTTCAATGGTGGCCAGCGACAGGACTAGAGGAAAYGGCCACAAGCTGAGGCACCAAAAGTTCCACAGGAACTTAAGGAAACATTTCTTGACAGTGAGGGTGCCAGAGCCCTGGGACAGGCTGCCCAGAGAGGTTGTGGAGTCTCCTTCTTTGGAGATCTTTAAAACCTGTGCCCCGTGCTCTGGCTGTCCCTGCGTGAGCAGGGGATTGGACTTGATGACCTCTGAGGTCCCTTCCAACCTTCGGCATTCTGTGATTCTATGAACAGATAGACATGACCTTTTCAGCTGCTGCCATTACTGCAGAATAAAACTCACAGCAGATCCTCCTCTTCCAGGTGCTCTAACACAGCTTGGCCTGACACCTTCAAATCGTCAACAACTGTGAGTTTTGTTCTGTTTTGCAGATGACACCGAGCTGGGTGGAGTGSYCGACACTCCGGAGGGCTGTACTGCCATCCAGAGGGACCTGGACAGGCTGGAGAGTTGGGCAGAGAGGAACCTCATGAGGTTCAATAAGGACAAGTGCAGGGTCCTGCACCTGGGGAGGAATAACCACGGGCATCAGTACAGATTAGGGGTCGACCTGCTGGAGAGCAGCTCCACGGAGAGGGACCTGGGAGTCCTGGTTGACACTAAGTTACCCATGAGTGAGCAGTGTGCCCTCGTGGCCAAGAAGGCCAATGGGATCCTGGCTGCATCAGGAGGAGTGTTGCCAGCAGGTCAAGGGAGGTGATTCTGCCCCTCTACTCAGCTCTGGTGAGGCCGCACCTGGATTACTGTGTTCAGTTCTGGGCACCCCAGTATAGGAAGGACGTGGAGCTTCTGGAGAGGGTCCAGAGAATGGCAACCAGGATGATTAAGGGAATGGAACATCTCTCGTATGAAGAAAGGCTGAGTGAGCTGGGCCTGTTTTCTCTGGAGAAGAGACGGCTCAGAGGGGATATGATTAATATGTATAAGTTCAGGAAGGGAGAATGCAGGGAGGAAGGGGACAAGCTGTTTTCACTGGCGGCCAGCGATAGGACGAGGGGTAGTGGCCACAAGCTGAAGCACAAGTTCCGTCTCCAGGTGAGGAGGAACTTCTTTTCTGTGAGGGTGACAGAGCAGTGGAACAGGCTGCCCAGGGAGGTTGTGGAGTCTCCTACTCTGGAGGTCTTCAAAACCCGCCTGGATGCCGCCCTGTGCCACATGCTCTAGGTGTGCCTGCTTGAGCAGGAAGGTTGGACTAGATGATCTGTAGAGGTCCCTTCCAACCTTGAATATTCTGTGAATCTGTGAATCTGTTTTTACTAGCTTCTTTTCTCAACAAAAATGTCATTTTTAAGATTCTTGGCTGTTTTCAAGTGCATTTTGGCAACTGTGGGTAATAGTTATGTTATGCTAGGTGTAGTGCCAAGTGGATTAGGCACCAGATTGCACTAAGCAACTCTGTGCCTAACTGTTACAGGGTACAACAGATTGCTGGCATCAGGGATACAGTGGTAGAAGTATGAGGAGCAGGAGGCCCATGTCAAACTAACTTGGCAGTCAACTAAAAAATTACCCTTTTCTTTGTCTTGAGGGGAAAGAAAAACAGATGTTATTGTATGATAGGAAATACAATTTTTTTTAACTATACAGAAGGATCAGCCCATATAAAGCTATGTATCATCTAGCAAATCTTTTATATAAAAAAAATCAAGTGCAATGTAATACTAACACAAACAGTAAAAGGGGCATTTTTGCTTTCAGAAGTATTACTACTTCCTCATCTATGAGATGTTGATTTCTTAGGACAGAGAAATACGCAGATCTAAAATGAAGAATAACAGAAAACTTATGAATTGTATTAGTTCTTTTATTTCTTTGAAAATAAAAAAAAGCACAGTACTAGACTACGGAAAGAGTAAAAGCTGTGATTAACTTTCATTGGAAAGGAGTCAATCCGAGGGAAAAAAAGACCTAGAAATCATAGCTACTACAGAGTATGAAGTTTGAGTTGGGATGTCTGGCTGATATTTCCTTTTTGAGTAGGTCCACAGATCGAGAAGTTCTTGATGGAAATTTCTAGTTTAACAACCTGTGGAAAAAGGAAAAGAAAAAAAAAAAAAAAGAGGAGAAACACATTAAGGGATACATTTTTTTCCCCAGATTACAGGAGGTGTTAGAAAGTACTTGTCTAGATGTAGCGCATCAAAAGACTGTGTGTGTGCATTGCATCAAGCAATTTTTAGCAATTGCTTTCCCACCCATTCTTCAATGTGCTTACTATGATTCCAATTAGTAGAAGTGAACTATGGTGAATTTCTACAGGCACGAAATACCTGAGATGAGAGCAAAGCTCTTTATCTCTTGGTGTAAAGTAGACAGTTTGATATCTACACCTYTACTGCCATGTCTGCTGAGGATTTGAGCTTATCTGTGAACCCAAATTACCTGTGCAGCCACATACACTACCATAAACTACAAGTGAATGGTCTCTAAAGTCTGCCCTTTATGCAACAAGTTGGTCATTTTAGAATTAAACCATCTTTTTTTTCTCACTCACACCCTGGGTTACGAGACTTTGAACTGACTGGTAAGGAAGGGAGCTCCGCATCTTGCTTGTTGCCATTAATGCGACAAATCCCAACATCTGACTTGCAGTGCAAGCCAAGAGCAGACATAACACCCTGTTAGGGGCCACCATGTGTCTCTGAGGAAAGAAAGGAAAATGTTTCATGAAGGTCCTTACTCTCTGTCACTGTGCGGTGGTAGAAGCACCAGGGGACACCAGCGGGATGTGGCACGAAGCAGCAGCCCTTCCTTTCACACTCTTTAGCTGTGATGCCGGGGAAACCGCAGTTCACTCTGGCCCGAACGTCAGAAGGGCATACTTTCCTGACTGTGTAATACAAAAACAAAGGAAAGAAGGAGACCATAATGTTTTATGTTTCTTCTACCTGGCATACAAAATCACAGAACAGTTTGAGGTTGGAAAGGACCTCTGGAGACCATCTAGTTAAAAGAAACGTTCACTGCAAGGAGAATGAGATGCATGAGTGACAGGTAAGCAAGGTCTTATGCTGCCTAGTACTGACAGCAGTTTTCTAATAGAGGTCTATGCCCACTTGGTTAGCCTCACAGTAAAAGCTTATTCCCCTTGTTATTCCCCTTGTACACATTTCCACAGAATCAAGAACTAAGCAGATGAATGTTTCTGGCTGATACATTACCCCTCTTTTGTTTTGGAGTGAAGCACCAAGGAACGCCAGGGACTGAAGCGCTGAAACAGCATCCAGCCCTCCGGCATTCCTCTGCTGTGATTCCTGGGTGTCCGCAGTTTAACCTCTCCCTGGGGGCCACTTTACACTGGCATTTTTCTGTTGAGGACAAAAAAATTAGTAAATTATTAGCTGTCTGTACTCTTGTTGGTGGAAGCCCATTTATCAGTTATCTATTGAGAATGATGAACTTTCCCTAGACTGTGGCAGTCTCGGCAGTATACATTTTATGTGGTTTGCTGAGATCAGAGCCTGAGTACTTTAAAATTTGTTACTGGTAAAAGGATTGCAGATGAAATGCTGGACCTGTTACGGCTGAAGTGAAATCCCCTCCAATTTCAATAAGGTCTGCTCTTCAGCCAGTCCAGCCCAACACAGTGAGGGCTAGAGAGTTCAATTAGATCTGATTAAATAGTAAAAAAATAGATAACTTCAAATGTTACACTGGTAAATGTTGCTCATTTTGCTCATATCACTAATTCACAGAATTCTTGGGGTAGGAGGCTGTATCCTTTTGAGATCATTAGGTCCAAACCCCTTGCTCAAGCAGTCCAGCTAGAGCAGGCTGCCCAGAACCATGGACAGACAGATTTTGAGTATCTGCAGGGATGAAGACTGCATAGTGTCTCTGGGCAACCTGTTCCAGTATTCGGCCACTGTCAAAATAAACAAGTTTTTTCTTATGTTTAGGTGGAATTGCCTGTGTTTCGTTTTGTGCCCATCATTTCTCATCCTGCCACTGGCCACCACTGAGAATAGTCTGGCTCTATCTTCCTTAATAGTCCCCACACACCAGCTATCTCATTTGAAGAGAGAAAGAGTTAGGGATAGGTGGAAAGATGCAAAATCTCTGCACTGCCTTCAGGTGACCATAAAAATATAGGATTATCTATAAATAGTTACATATGTGCTTTTAGCATCATAGTCCTTCCTACTCAAGCAATTTTGGAGATGCTGTCAGGGCTCTGTTACTGAATTACTTACTTCCCACTTTCTGGATTATCTAAATGGCTGCCTTTTGTTGAGAAGGCAGATAGATTTCTTTGAACTTGTATTCACATGACAAAGTAGCATAAAATAAATACTAGAGCACTACTGAGATACAGCAAGATCCTGCAGTCCTTCTGGAGCAAAGACTTGTCTAGTAAATTAAGTAACTGATTTTTGGCATTTTTTGTCCCTCTACCAGCATAGCAGACTACTGGTTGTTCTGCTACCATAAAAGATCTCCTGGAGTCTGTTCCCAATGTTGATACTATATATACATATATATTTTTTGCCACAGATTCCCTTGCAAAACTTGAAAAACAGACACCAGCTTTTGAACACGTATCACCCAAGATATCCACTATTTGATGCGTAAACTGGAGACATGCTCTTGCTGCAATTACAATCAGTAGCATCATGCTCACAGAGGTAACCATCACGGCAACAACAAGCCAGTGTACTTACCTGCTTGCGCTCTTGCCTCTGCCAAGGTGCTGAGGGCTACAACCAGGATGACTGAGAGCACGCAGATCCCTTTCAGATCCATTGCTGACAGCAGCCCTCAGGCCTCGGACTGCTTCGGATGGGAAGGCAGATCGAGGTGAGGTGCTGCTCTCCCTCAGAGCAGCTCATTTTATACACTCCTCATGTTTGCACAGTGAGATCTGATAACATTGTTCCACACAGTACTTCAGCTTCACGTAGAGGGTTTTTACTGTTTTTTTTTGTTATTGTTGTCTTTTCTGTAATTAGGAAATGTTACCATGTATATTCTGATATCTCTGATCCCTAAGATAAATTTCCAGGCTCTAAAGCTCAATACATCTCGAGCTCATTACTGCATGCCTCTGAGTGCCACAAGTGACTTCATTAAGCTTAGAGCATTTCAAAAGTCCAAGCAATTTTTTAATTTGTTGCCACTACTTAAAATATACAAATATATAAAAATTTGAAAATTATGCTTTATATCTATATACATACACACACACATACACACACATAGATTATACATATAATATACATATATTTTACATACATATACATATATATACACACTTCCCTTCTATTTTTTTCTGCTTCAGATTTACCATGGCCTTAAGTCCAGTTCATTACACATTGAAACTGCAGGAGAAGTTGAAGGTCTTACACCTTCAAGCTTTGAAAGATTGCAGCATGTCTGTCTTAGGAAATCAACTTCTTCGCTATCCCAGGTGATATTTTGGATTGTATGTCCAAAACAAAAAAGAAGGACAGACTTTCTGGAGCAAACCTTCTCATGCCCTGTAATTTTTTCTTGGGAAAGTCATGGTACAGGCTGCTTCCTATTTCCTCTGCCTTGTTGCTACAACAGATTATTCCTTCACAACTTGTCCAAAACAAAGCACACAAAATTTGCTGAAGAATAACTTTTGAATTGGGCTCGATATTAGGTTTGGCCTAATAATTTTCCCGTCATTTAATAGATGATGTTCAAGGACATGGGACATTTTGAACTGGACTGTTCATTCGGGTTTATTCTCCCTTTTGGACTTTTTCCTGGCATTTTCTCTGATATTTGTTAATTTTTAATTACTTTCTAATATCTGAGCATGATTAGTCCTGGTAGATAGAACACAAGGCACCACATCCGTTGGAAAATTTGGTTCCTAACTCTGGTATGATAGAATGACATAATCATGGTTGTTCTATCGAAAAAAAAAAAAAACAAGAGACCAAAACTTAAGGCAAAGACCGAACAAAGACAAAAGTAGAAAACCAGACCAGCAAAGTAAAATAGTTCCTCCTAGCAGGAATATTCCCTTGGAGAATAGGCAGGGACATCCCAGCAAGAGACACCAGGCTTCAGAGTGACGGTGCATCTACAGTTAGACTCATGAGACACTGGAGTGACATTTCCAGAGAAACCTAAAGGAATCAGTTGCTTTGCTAAGAAATGTTGTATGTACTCCACAGAAATCTTGCCTTTTTAAAGAACAACTTTTCATCATTGAAAACCTTGTTGCCTGAGTTGTTTTCTCTATACTAGTCTGTTATGTGAATCTAAATACAATATAGATACTGTTGATATTAATACCTTTGCCATCTCAACCATCAGAGTGTTCTTCCTATTCATGATTGGGAAGAGGATTCAGTGTATTTTTTGATCTTTGACAGAACTGTGTCTTTTTGTCTTTGGTTATTATGCATGAATTTGCTTTAGTGCTTCTTTTGCTGTTCAAGTTCAAGGTGCAAAATATTTAACTCCTACAATTGTGTTTTGAGGGTAATTTACATGTTAAAAAGTATTTTGAACCCTGTAGAAAGATGATGGGCCTACAAGGGCAAAAATAATAGAGTTCATTTTATTAATATTTCTGTAAATATTAATTTATATTTATCTATTAATAACAAATACATTAGCAGCATTTCATATTGAAAGGCATGATTTATAAGCAAACATCATGTGTATTCTTCAGTCCACAAAACATCAATCTGGAAGCAGAAGGGGTCTGTGCTGTAACTCAGTGATTAATATCATATTTTTTACTTCTATCATTTGGAGAAAACATCAGATCTGAACTTTAAAAATCCAAACTTTTCCTTACCTGTAACAATGATAGTGGTTCCAAAGACTAAAATATGGTGCTAACTCCAGTGAAGTCATCAGCAATTTTCTGATGATTTTGTTTGGGCCAACACCAGATCATGCAGAAGTTATGAATGGCTGAAATGTTACCTTTGCACAAAACAAAAATGATTATCCCAGATGGGGAACTTTGCGGCTTTCATCGCGCTGCAAGTGTTCTTGGTAGATTATCAGTCCACAGTGTGAGTCAGGTAAAACTACTGATAAAGTTTGTCACTCCTGCCTCTTACTGAATACTTAATTAAATCCTTATCTGTCAGCTGTCACCTATTGGGCCTGATCCCATTGCATGCACAAAGACAAACGTATCACTGAATTTTCACTGCGGAAAGAGTATATGATTGCCATCTTAAACAAACACACTTGAAGAAATGGGCTTCTTGCTTTTTGCCAGCAAGTTACTTTAAAATATTTAATATATTTATATAGCAAAGCCTTGAAAATTATCTTGGGTTTCAATGCCAGGGKTTTTTTTTCCTTTTCATGAGCCAGCAGTTATCTAGACCATTTGGTAGCTCCATGTTGAGTGCCCAGTCTCTGCTGGGCTCTGGACTGCAGAACGGCTTGATGAGGGAAGAGCATTTGCCTCAAGGAGACACTCAGGAGAAGTGATACTTCAAGGATAACTGGCTTCACGCCACCCACTCACTGGAATACTCTATTTAAGAAATTATTTATAGAAAGTATCACCATGAGCAATACTCTCCTCGCATATCAGTAGGCCTGCTGTTTGCCCTACTCCACCACGGTCAGTTGTGTTGTCACCAGCCGTCCCTTGACATCCTTCCTTTGGATGGTTTGCAGGTTTAACGGGCAGAGAAGAAGCAGCGATCTAGTGATTCCCATCACCCTAGTGTGGCCAAGGCTGCTCTTCCCAGTGAGCTGACTGGGCAGTTTGCCTGCAGAGGTCTTGGAACCAAGGTAGGGGTGCTTCAGGTACCCAGCTGGTGTGGCCAGCGGTGCCAGGAGAACCAAAAGACTGGACTTCGGGAGTGTTTCTGCAACAGGAGGTTAAGTGACATTCCCATGCAGAAACCTGTGGCTGCATTCCTGTGCACAGATTGAACTTGCAAGACATGATGCAGCAATGAGTTTTCTTGCTGCTGCTGTCCATAAAGACAAAAAATGAAATATCAAATAAAGTAAAGCGAAGCAGAGAGGTGGATTTAAAGCTGCAGGTTTCTGTGTGCAGCAGGGATCCCAGAAAGAGCAGAAACTGTTTCAGTCCACCTTAATCCCTGCTGTGTATTAGAGGGATCTGGAACATGAACGACTTGGAACTTCAAGTGACGCTGCAGCCAACTCCTTGTGTTTCTTCCCATGAAAGCATAGAGTAAGTGCCCTTTTATTTCTATGCCAAACATGCCTGGAGATGAGAATATCAGTAGACTAACAGACATTTTTGGATTGTGTAGAGGTGTGCTTTTGGACATAAGCAAGAATACCAGGAGGAGGTGCTGGGTTAGAGTCACAGCTCACCTGCTTGAGTCAGCTGGGTAAGGACCAGGTGGGCTGAGTGCCCACTGCTGCAGAAACTGCTGCTGCTCCAGGAAAAGGTATCCTGGTCTCAGATTTGCAGTTGATTCTCTAGCAGGGGTTATCCTCTGACTCAAGAGATAAAGAAGATATAGCACTTTGGGTGGATGTGAGAGCAGTTTAAGTCTGTAATTGCATGGCCACTATCTGGCTTACTTCTGCAAGCCATGCTGCAGAGAAAACTGTCTTTGTTTCATGGAAATGTCAGACATAGGAATAGGGATAAAGGAAAACGTAGTTAGGTGCTGGGTGCTGAAAAATGTCTCCAGAACACTGAGAAAACCTTGGCATTTCCAAAGTAAATGAAGGAGGGTCATAGGCCTCCCACATACTTTAGCTGGATGAATTAATGCATAAAAGCCTCCATTTCAGGTTGATATCTACCTATCTACCAAACAACACCATCAATTCAAAAAGTAAATAGGTAAAAAAAACTGCATTTTAATTCTGTGAATTAACAATTCAAAGTAAAAATTCACATCCATTCAAAAGCCATTCTATCGTTTAGATAAATATACCTACGTAAGATATACTAATGCAGATGCCAAAACCAACTTTGATTTGGTACGTACAGACTCATTCAGCACACTTGAAACACACTGGCTGTGATCAAATAGTGAGGGAAAAGTGCCCATAAATCAGTGCAGTGTGGCACAACTTGCCAGACACCCCACAAGAGGCGAAGCAGCTCTCCAGCTGGTTCTAAGGCAGAAGATTTGGTTCAAGAAAGGGCCACTGAAAAAAACATTATCTTCATCATGACATATCCAATTTACTATGGCTCCAAGAAAAAAAAAATAATCTAAAACTGGAACTATTACTTTCTAAAAGGGAAAATATATAAACCATACACAGTTATTAAAAGGAACTTAAAGGAAGAGGAAAAAAAGAATAAACTGCTTTCAAAAAGCAGGATGCTGTTTAAAAACACAAGAGGCTCAGAGTAAATATTTACCACCAAATAAAAAATTGGAAAAAGGATGACCTCAGGCATACACACAGGAACAGAATATTTAAGTACCTGAGCAAAGGAAGTTGCTAAAAGAAAAAGGACTTTCTTCAAAAGGAATCCAGCAGTCAGATAAGGAAAATAGAAAAAGAGAGTGAATGCAGAGTAATAAAACAGMAAAGTAAATAAATAACATTTTTTTACGATAGGAGACAAAGGCCAGCTACCAAAAGTGAGCAAAGAGCATTTCTGCTGTTGAACATATCCATAAATGATCAAGAAATGTTGGTGAATAATGAAGTGATGAATTAATGATGACTCATAATAATAATTTTTAATATTTTTCAARAGTTCAGATAACTGAAAAGCTGCAAGAACATCTTAAAAGGCTGAGTGACGGGGAATAACTGGTTGGGGAATGCAGAGGGGTTTATGT